GGGATGTAATTGGTTCATGAGCAATTTTAATAATAATATCAGTATAAGTAATAATAATTTGAGTAATGTACATTTAAATATTTAAATATAAATGGGAAAATGATTATATAATAATAAGTGTATACATATAAGTTTACACTTCGTTTCAATATAGAAAAAATTTTACTTCGCATTATAAATATTAATCTCAATTATACTCCGCGAAAAATTATAATTTATGTAAACAAAATTAAAAAATTAAAATAAGAGAAAATGTCTTGATGTAAAAACTGACCGCGAAATCCAACCGCGGAAACCGATCGCGAATTAAATACAAAGATGCGTGATTGTGCATGTTGTTCATGCGGCACGCATCTTGAAAATATATCAAGTAAGATCTACAGAATAAATGACGTGATAGCCGAAAAAAAGTAACAGATATTACAATTAATCAATAATCGCGTTCTTAATTGAATAATATATGCAAATTTTTATATAAACTTATACATATCGGTATAAATATATCTCATTATATTTTTCATTTTCTACTAAAATTATTTTTTATATAATATTATAAATAGTCATATATATTATTGCAAAGTTGAATGTATAATTGTGCCATGTGATAAATTCTAAAATAATTTAAAAATAAGTTTCAGCGTTTCTCAAGAATATTTCGAATCTCACGTCATATATTACTTGACTGGCATAAAGCCAATTTTTCAATCCAAACTAGATGGATAGGTTACAAAAGTTAGGGTAAAATCGATGCTTTTTGTTAAAATAAGTTTTAGTAATAACCATTATCACATTTTCTATAAAATAAATTGCATAATAATAAAACCAAAATATTTTTTATCCCTTTTATTTATGCTTTTATATTTATGCATATTGACATTTTTTAAATATGTCTATATATATTACTTCTTTGCATCGATTTATATAATATTTAATCTTGGATAAATATGTAGGAAAGGAATAAATGGATATATGACAACAGACATCCTAACTAATTAATAATTTTTCCCTATCTACAGATATTTTTCTTTTTATGACACCTAACACAATATCTTATTTATTCTCGTTATATCTCTTTTATTCAGAAAAATTTACGGCAAAAATTTTATTTTTTTTATTTTTAATATTTCTGGCTAAAAATTTACGTGTACATTCTTGAAATGTAGTGGAATCAAGAAAGAAAGGTCAAATTGACTGTGTGTTATCCGAGGGATAAATATAAATTGAATAATAATAATTAGTGTATATATAATAATAAGTTTAAATCTAAAACATTCTGTATATTCTTTAGATAAGTTAATTAATGAAAAGATAGTTTTACGATTAAATAAAAACCGATAATATTCGGATTGCATATCCAAAATCATAAAGTTTCATCATGGAATCAAGAGACACGGTATAGTGCAATGTCTCGCTCCAAGTACGTACGCGAAGCGAGACCGCACAACTTTTTTACGCGACGTGACGAGTTGCGAGTACTCGAGATGTTGAGATCTCAATAACGAGTGAACGGATTAAGTTCTAAGTAGACTTGATCGATACCTTGGGGTCGATTTATAAAAAGAAAAGTGTATTTATTTTTTCCTCATGTGCCCTACGAGGGGAGATATATAAACACACTGGAGCATTTTCACTAACAATCCCAACTTTATTGGTTTCCGTCGTTCCCTCGTAAAATTCCTCGTTATTTCTATGTGGATTCAGATTAATCGGGTGATTCAGGGTAATCACCTGTATACACCCATTCGGGTAATTTGAATCCACACACAAGTAACGAGGAATTTTACGAGGAAACGACGGAAACCAATAAGATTGTCAATGCGCCAAAAAATGACAGACCGTCCTCAAATGGGACAGTTTTTTGGCCTACATTTATGATCTCTTTGGAAACATTAACTTTAAAGTATACTGTATCGGATTATGTAATTGGATTATGAGCAATACTAATGTTAATGTTAGTAACAATAATATAAATGTAAATTGAATAAGTTTATGTTTATAAGACAATTTGTTAGGAAAAAAAAAGTTACTTGTACGAAAGTAAACTATCGTTAGTCTTGTAAAAATATTAAATATATGTGTCATTAATAAAAACGTTCAGAGATCAAAAATATAAATTTGGAAAATTTATCTCTTAGATAAGTAAATTTATAATAATACAAGACACATATCACTATTAAGCTTAATTTTAAAGCATAACGTTGTTCAGTCTGTTACGATAAAATCTTCACAAGCGAAAGAGGAGGATCAATAAACTAGCATATGCTACCCCGACAAGGAAAGTCAAAGATAAGAAGAACCCGTAGGGCACTTCGTTTCATACGTCAAGAGGGGCAATTCGGTTTTAACATTTTTCTTAAATGTAACTTTTTTTTATTTATCGGGGAAATAAATTTATTTTTTATCAAAAAATTATTATTTTTTGAATTTTATATTATTTAAAGACAAAATATATTTGATTAAAAAATGCTACAATTTAAATCCCTGATCCTAATCTAACGACGCATTTTCATTAGTAGCAAGCGTAATGACGTCATATCTTATATGCGAGTAGACCAGGTTCAATGAGACAATGGATTAACATTATTGCTTTTATGAAGCGAACGAGCCACTTGGAGTGCTAAGAAAATTACTGAAACTCAAGAATTTGTAAAGAATTCGAAAATGGAAGGCTTTTTAGGTAGTCGAAACAATCTTTAAGCACAATTAGAGGTGTCACAATTAGAGGAGTATCACAATTCTATGTATAATTATAATGCGCGAAAAAGCGTGATGTTTTCTCAACATTATTTTCGATTTTATTAAAATCTTTTTACATAGAAAATTGAACGCATTTAAAACTTGCACATCAAATTCGACTTATTGCTACGGATATTATTACAGACATCTTAATTTATCGTCGCTTTCTACCGCCAACTTTCTTGTGCAAATTCCGCTCTTTCTTCCCCGCCTTTGGCTTTTTAGCGGTTTTACTTTTGTTGTTCTTTAGCGCGCCTTTCCTCTTTTTACTGCCGCTTGCCGCGGACTGCTTTATCCTGCAACACACGTGAAGAAATATCGCGTCATTATCGTGTTGCATATAATGCGTTTGAATTAAATCAGCGCAAGTAAAAATTTACTCTGCAATTCCCGTCGAGCAGTCGTCGCGCAGAATCTTCGTACTGGTTTTCAAAACGCTGTCTATCAGGCCTTTATTTTGACGTTTCTCTTCGATAGGATTTAACGGAGGTGCTTTCCTCTTCCTCTTCATTCCTGACATCTCCTTGGCAATTCCCTTTGCATCCTTTTCTTTCGGCAACCTATAGAAATCGTATAGTTTTGTTTAAAAAGCAACCATTTTATGGCAGACAAGTCGCAATATCTAAAGAGCTTACCTAGACTGGAATTTTCCAACAGATGCTGTCGACGTACGCGCTACAGTTAGAGCTTCAGAAAGCTGTTGAGAATTCGAAAAGTGTTCTCTGGTAGGTAAACCAACCCTTGGTAATTTGACGTTTTTCGATTTGGCTATATTGCGAAGCCTCTGCAATTCGTTTTTGGACTGCCTTTCCTGCTTAGCCGATTTGGTTTTAGAAAACGGATCTTCGGTCGAGTCACCATTGCCTTTGGCCTCTACCAACCATTCCTTCTGCTCCTCAGCCTTCGCTCGTTTATAACCGTGCGTGGGAATCCATTTCTAAAAAAATATTTTAAAAAGAAATCAAGTAAACTGAAAGATTATTCATTACAAGCCTCTTCATTCAATTTAATTTAATTGAACAAAACAGAATAGTTCTTAAAACAAATCTTGCCTTCAATTCCTCGTCCCATTTCAATTTAGATTTACCCTTCTTCTTGGTTTGTATTCCCTTTTCCTTGGCAAACTGCTGCCACTTTGTCAAAGGCTTGGGCTTCGGAATTACGCGCGAGCGTGGCAATACGTACTCAGGCTTGGGCAATGTAGCCACTATAGCCTCGTCAACCCGTTCCACTGGCAGTTGCCAAATCTCATTGATCAGCAACTGTACGTTGTCTCTGGTCAGATTTCTTAAATATGTCTCTGACTTCGATCTGTAAATACAACAAGTATTGTAAGCATTTTTAAGACAATTTCAGAAGGTTTTCTTACAGAGCTATTAAACACATGTATAAGGTAGTTACTCGAGAGTCTTCGCGTCCAGAGGGTTATAGTCGGACGCGAGTAGGGTCCCCAGATCGATGTCGAGCTCCACATCCTTGTGCACCTTCGTGGATTTACTCAGATCTGCCTTTCCTTGGTTGTCTTCCAAAATTGACTTTACAACATCCATGGCGAGGTTCGCGCGAATTTGAGGTTATGAGATGTCCGCACTCCGCACAGTCCGCACATATGTACGGAAACGTGGCGGAGAAACTCTTTCTATTGGACGCGGAACGGTGTCACGTGTTCGCGACAGTCGCCGCCGACGCCGCCTCGTTTCCGTCGCGTTCTGTCTTCTGTCTTCTGTCATTTCCGTCGGGCTTTGTGTGTCGCTCGGCGATTACGACTGGTGCGATTAGTGCGGATTAGTGCATTAGTGCAGTTCAGTCTGTTCGGTGCAATTTAGTGGTGTGAATGGTGTGATACGGCCTGATACGGCCTCTGATAAGGTACGCGCGACGTTTCGTTCGAGGAGATCGGAGTGTCGCGTTATCGATCAACGCGAGAGGAAGCTCTCTCGGCGCGACTCTCATCGAGGAATTCAACGCGAGGATCTCGCCGTGTGTCATGGGAGAAGTGTCTGTTGCTACGCTAGCTTCGTGACTCATCGCGCGAACGATCGACCCACTTGTCGTCCTGTGTTGACAAGTGCGCGCCAGGAGACGCCGATCTCTCATCTCGTCCTCGACGCCGCTAACGATCGCGCGAGGAAATCGCACGAGGTCATTGATACCCAATAAAAGAACAAAGTACTGGACGTGTCAAGAAAGCCGAAAAACAAATACCCGAGTGACGCGGCACGTTAAATACCCTCATAAAGAAAGAGAGCACCACGTCGCCTCAGCTTCGTCGCGGAGAAACGGCGAGGAGCGATTGTTACGTTTGCATCGATAATTGGTTAGTTCTGTCTAACGTTATATTTACGTAGAATCGTCAGGGAGAGATTTGCAAACACATTGATTGCAAAGATATTTACTCCTACTCGTGTAATTGAATTTGTATAATCTTAATAATTAGCTAACATAACGTCAGCTGACGGCTCAAAGATGGATGCCGGATTCTCGTCCTACCACAACGGTGGTCCCGCACGGGAACAGGATTTCGGCAGGTTGTCCCAAACGATTGGCACCTCGATACTGAAGATATCACAAAATGGTAGGTTCTCCGATCATCGGAACTGGTTTGGGAAATATACGGGATACTTATTTCGATGATTCGTTCGCAGTGTCTTCCATGCAGAAGATGGTCAACCAGCTGGGCAGTTCCACCGATTCTCAGGAACTCAGGAATCAGCTGTAAGTTATGAGAAATACACACATTTAATTAGGCGAGATTTAATTCGCTTCCAGTTTTGTAGCTGTTGACTTACCGACGCGATTTAATGCATGATTTAATCACCGAAATACAACAATGAAGGAAGGAATTAAATCCTGTTAGCGTATACCTAGATGAACGGAGATCAGAGTTTCATGAACTTGTCGTTTCACAGGCATCAGATACAGCACTACACGCAGCAGCTGGCGAAGGACACCAGCGTTCATCTTCGAGATTTGGCTATGCTAGCGAATAACTCTGGCTCCACGAGCCCTGGAGAACAGAGGCAGCGGAAGATGCAGAGGGAACGCCTTCAAGACGAATTTACCACCGCTTTGAACGCTTTTCAAGTAAATATTGATTGATGTATAAATGCATTTTAATATCTGACATGTTGTCAATAATTACTATTCAATTTAGGCCGTACAAAGGCTAGCTGCCTCCAAAGAGAAAGAAATGGTCAGGAAGGCTAAGGCTAGTGCGGGTATCGCGCCGTTCGGAGAGAAGAAACAGGATACGCTTATCGAGCTGCAAGACAGCAGAACGTATGGGAGCGATCATGCGAAGCAGCAACAGGAGCAGCTGCAGGAACAGATGAATTTGCGAATGTTAGAAGAACAGGAAGCTAGTATAAGGCAATTGGAGGTAAATTCTTTCGAGATTGACAAAGATTCATATACACGAATACATTTTAAACATATAAACTACATCATTTATTGTTTTTGCAGAGTAACATTAGCGATATTAATCAGATATTCAAAGATCTTGGAGCTTTGGTGTACGATCAAGGAGAAGTGATTGATTCTATAGAAGCATCGGTCGAGAGAACCGAGGTATCTGTTAGCGAAGGCGCTTCTCAAGTGAGGCAAGCGAGTATGTATCAGACCAAGCTACGCAAGAAGAAATGTATTCTCATAGTGATCGCGGTAGTCGTATTGGCGATCTTGATTGGTATCATTGTTTGGCAGAGCAAGTAAAAAACAACATGCATATATTTATAACAGTGTACAGCATGGTACGTAGTGCTACAAGAGACTGCTGTCCGTAAACGATAGCAATTCGCAAGTCATAAAATTCTTAGCGACGTTTTTGTTCAGTTTTAATTGTTTTAAAACCACGCAAGGGATAGCATTGTCATAGAGATGCAGGAGAGTGGAGAAACACACGAATCTTGCGAATTTAATCCATCTAATTGTGATAATCGTAGGTGCGAGCTCTGATTTGCGAGTAAAGTTCTTAACGGCATGTCTAAAAGTTGCCGCAGTCCATTTGTACGTTTCAATACTCATAAACTATCAGTGTATAATGATCAACTATATTTAATATACATACGCGTGTATGACAATTTAGATAACTTAACGCGATTATGTGTAACAAAGCTAGATATGTGTGTGTGTGCGCGCGTGTGCTGTGTGGAATGCTTATGTATGGTAAAATAAATAACGGAGTATGCTTGTTGTCTGCAATGGAACTATATGTGCCTGTAAAATATCTTAAAAACTATTCCTAACAACAATTTCGAGGCGAATGTCGGAGAGAGCATTATAGTCATTTAAAAATATATGAAAGGATTCATATAAGTTAATGTATTTAGTTTAGGGATGTTAATTTTTATTTTAAACAAGATATAATAAACAATATGTATATATAAAAAGACCGGCAAGAGCAAGATCTGGCTCTAATTATTCTTACCATACAAATCTTAAAATAGGTATATGCAATGAATAAAAAAATCAACGCTTTTAATGGAGTTCATCTTTTTATGTGTGTATATATGTATCTCTATACATTAAGAATTTAATATATCAACAAATAAACTATACAATTTTATATAAATATTTATTTATATAAACTTTCAAATTTTTTACAAAATCACAAAAATTACAAAACCAATATATTTATATACTAGCGTGTATTATCCTAAATACGTTTCTCTGAAGCCAACTTTCTAAATACGTATATTTCAATTTATGTAATATATCAGTAAAAAAATTTTGTAAATTGTATATAAATGTATACACTTCAGGAATCAGTGCTTCGAGTTCGACCTCTTCCAATAAACGAGGAAGTTCTAAAATCCACAATAATGAAACGGCAATATAATCATTGATACTGCACATCCACATTTCTTTCACTTAATACTAATATATGTAATAATGTTTTATGAGAAAAAAAACAGCGCTGTATAGAAACAACGTAATTGAAAGCGAAAAAAATGATGCAATTATGCGTTACTTGTCGCAATGAGTTTCAAAGATCTTGCTGAAAACCGGCTGTATCTGTTCCAGCATATCCGAGGCCAACATTCCTCTTTGTCTTATCTTGAAGGCCGATGCATTGCATTCTCTGATTAATCTCGATGCAGCGTAGCACGCTACTATTGAGGGCGACAAGGCGCATTCGCTGGTTCCCGCAGAGATAGCCCACCACCAGAATACCGCTAATGAACCGGATAAGAGGTCACCCTGTCCACCGCACCTCCTCCCAGAGCCAGCCAATCCACACGACACGGTCTCGGTACCCTTGTGACCGTCCACGATCACATCCTTCGCTCCCTTGTGCAGAATTATCACGTTCTTCCCAAGAGCCTCCGCCACGTGCTTCATGTCGGAAGTTTTAACTACAGGAGCGGGCGAAACTGACCTGTCCAGTACCGCTTTGACCAAACGACTGAACTCCATTGCGTTAGGCGTCAGGATAACTCCGGGATAGTCCTTCACAATTTCTGGCTTCTGACAGACCAGGAACAAACCATCGGCGTCAATAACCAACGGCTTCCTCGCCTCTCGGCAGATTGTTATTAATTCAACAATTGTTTTGAATATCTTCTCATCTCTGCCAAGTCCAGGTCCGATCAGAATAACGTGCAGACGATCGAGCCAAGGTTTTATTTGCTGTATCGCATCCTGTTGGTCCAGGACCGGATGGACTATCGGCTCTGGACTGAAGGACTTGATAGGAACGCTGGCGTCTCTCGCGCAAAATACATGGACGAGATCGGCACCAGTTCTCAGTGCACTCATAGCCGCAAAATACGGTGCTCCCGTATACTCGGTACTGCCGCCAAAAATGCCAATCCTGCCGTCTTGGCCTTTGTACTTGGTATTAATCAAATTCGGTATCACCTTCCGTATTCCCTTCAACATACGTTCGTCCATAGACGACGATGTAGACATCGTGGACATTGATGCAAATCTAATTTGTTGCCTGCAGAGAAAATTACAAATAACAAATGCCATCCTTGAGACACAAGGAAAAATATCTGTTAAAACATACTAGCGTACATACATCATCCGCAGATTAATAACAAATCTTTTACAAAGAAAAAACAATGTGAAAATTTTACAGATCAAGTTATCTATATTTCTTGAGTCTTGCTCATCTTTACCTGCAATAGCCGACAAAATTATTTCCTAGTGTCTCCTCGCGCAATGAAAGATGTCGAACAAGATGCACAGATGTTGCAAAACAAAAATACACTTATTATTCTTGTGTTATCGTTATCGCAACAGGTTCACGATATCTTGTGTCAAAACGAATCTGTTTCAGTTGACTGATAATACCATAATTTACAAATAAT